TATATATATATATATATATATATATATATCTTCATGGATAATAAAATTGAATATTGCCAAGAAATTAGTTCTTAACTTCACCTATAGATTGAACATGACCCTGCTAAAAGGCACTTTATGGATATCAACAACCTGATTCTAAAGTTTATTAAGAGAGGCAAGAGACCCAGAATAGACAACTCAATGTTGAAGAGAAGAAAAAAGCTGGGGGACTAACACTACCTGACCTGAAGACTTACTACGAAGCTACAGTAATCAAGACAGTGTGGTGCCGATGAAAAGAACAGACAGATAGATCAATGGAACAAAAAAGAAAGCCCAGAAATAGACCCAAATAAATATAGTCAACTAATCTTTGGCAAAGGAGCAAAGGTAATACAATAAGATAATTGGTGCTGGAACAACTGGACATCTACGTGCAAAAAAGTGAATGCAGACACAGAAATTACACCCTTCACAAAAATAAACTCAAGTGGATCACAGACCTATATTCAAGTGCAAAACTATAAACCTCCGAGAAGATTAACAGGAGAAAACCAAGATGACATTGGGTATAGTGCTGTCTTTTAGATACAACACCAAACACACAGTCCATGAAAGAAATAATCAATAAGCTGGACTTCATTAAAACTAAAAACTGCTCTGTGAAAGGCAATGTCAAGAGAATGTGAAGACAAGTCATATACTGGGAAAAAAGATCTGATAAAGGATTGTTATCAGAAATATATAGATGTACAAAGAAATATTAAAACTCAACAATAAGAAAATGAACATCCCGATTAAAAAGTGGGCCAAAGACGTTAAGAGACACCTCAGCAAAGACAGAATAGAGATGGCAAGTAAGCATATGACAGATGTTCAGCCTCATATGTCATTAAATAATTGTTAATTAAAATGAGATACCACTACCTATAGATTACGATGACCAATCAAAAAAAAATGACAACACAAATGCTGCTGAGGATGTAGAGAAACAGGAACTCTCATTCACAGCTGGTGGGAATGCAGAATTGGTGTAGCTACTGTAGAAGACAGTTTGGTGGCATCTTACAAAAATATACATACTTTTACCATATGATCCAGCAGTTGTGCTCCTTGGTATTTACCCAAATGAATTGAAAAACTGAAGTCTGCACAAAAACCTTTACTCAGATGTTTATAGCAGCTTTATTCATAATTGCTCAAACCTGGAAGCAACCAAGATGTCCTTCATAGGTGAATGGATACATAAACTGTTACATACATATAATGGAATATTACTTAACACAAAAAATAAGAAAGCTATTGAGCTATGAATAGACATAGAGGAAACCTAAAATGCACTTTACTAAGTAAGAAAGATAAACGGAATGGGCTACATGCTTTATGATTCCAACTATCTGAAATTCTTGAAAAAAGCAAAACTATGGAGACAATAAAAAGATCAGTGGTTGCCAAGGGTTAAGGTGGAGGGAAGGATGAATGGACAAAGAACAGAGCATTTCTAGCGCAGTGTATACTACTACTACTACATCTACTCTGTAAAATACTACTACATGTGGACGCATGTCATTATACATTTGTCAAAGCCTATAGAATACACAAAACCAAGAGTGAGACCTAATGTAAACTGGACTTCAGGTGATAACGATGTGTCAATGTAAGTTCATTGTAACAAGTGTATCCCTTTGTGGCAGGATATTGATAGTGGGGGAGGTTGTACCTGTAGGGACAGGGTCTATGTGGAAATTTTCTGTATTTTCTGTTAATTTTGTTGTTAACCTAAAACTTCCCTAAAAAATAAAATTTATTAATGAAGAAACAAAACAAACATAGTTCCTAAACACTAAATGAACAATGGAAAGGTAAGATTACTAAAATAGTAAGGTTTTAGAAGGAAAACTCCATCAGAGCCCTAATATCAGTTATTCCTTCTACCTAGACTGTATCGAGCAACTTACCAATTTATACAGTTGTAAAGCATAATTTTAATTTGTTTTTAATGAAGGAAGTCTGTTAAAGCAAAAATGCCAAGAGCCAACAATATTCATAATGTATCCCTATGAATTGCTATGATTTTGATAGTCTTGGTATTTAATAAATGATAATCACAACAAAGATATAAATATATCTTCTTAAAAGGAAGTAAAAAAGAAGATCAGCAAAGTTTTTTATTTACTGGGGACATACGATTTACTGCTCCCTAACCCCCCCAGTCCAAGAAATAATACCTTTCTTTCCCTTTACAGATATATAAGGAAAGAGAGAAAGCAACTCGATTTGGTTCTTCAAGGTAATTATAAGATGTTTTACAATGTTAAAGAGTTTTAGTTACTTAAGAAAGCTTGAGTCCGTCTGTATATTTTGAACAGTTTGAGTAGGCCTGAAGCTACCGATGTTTGTGAAATCATGAACTACCATGTTTACTACAGGGAGTTAAATAAATCTCATATACTGTGTTTCTGTTTGCATTCAATTTAAGATGTGGTTCAAAAGCAGAATGTTGTATTAAGAAAATATCTATACACAACAGAGATGATGAGGTAATCATTAGAGGTAATCACCGCAGAGGTACATACAATATTAAAGATGACATGAAATCTTTGACTGAGGCTATCATCAAAGCAAGGAAAGGTTACTCTCTGAAACTGAAGCTGGTAATAACCAGATACAATGGAGCGATTAACCATCTGCATTCCGCCCTACCCAGTTGTTTATTACATGACCAGTGAATCTACACTGAATTCTAAATCTCCACCCAAATTTTCTTTGAGACATGACTGTAATGTCAAGATAACTTATTTAGTTACAATAATAAAATGTTAGATGAAATAATGGTGCCTTTGAAATGTGGTAATAGAAGGTATTCAAAGTTATGACTATGTGGGTGTTCATGCAGCTTAAAAAAGATGATGCTCTAACCCTATTTACTGGTCTTTTTTCTTTAGATTAAACTTCCTAAATTACCAGAGAGCAAACATAAGGCTTTGACAATTTAATGAAAATAGCACTTGACACTCAACAATAACAAACAGGTCTAATTCTTTGTGTAACAAGTAAATTTCTGTGATACCTTGGCCTCCAGAGCACACTTGACCAGCAGAAGGAAAGAAGTGAACAAATGACAAGCTTGGGTCTGAAATAGGTATACCTTATAAGGCACATTAATAAGGCAGATTTTCTTTTTACAAGTTGGATATCTTAGTAACTAGACAAAGCTGTTTTTTTTTTTTTTTCTGAGCTATAGTCATTTTTGGTTAAACAGTAAGAGTAAGCTGTTGGACCTATAAGATGCTTTAACACGATCGTGGACCCACAGTGGTAGTGCACCATCTTTCACAGCCTTCTCTCAGGTCTCATTTTGCCTAATTAGGGAGATGTCAACAAAAGGAAGGCAATGGTCATGATGCTATCATGAGAGTCACAGTGTCTGATGCATCCATTCTCTCTCAGTTACTATCTAAATCCATCGGGATGGGAATTCAAGGCTAGATTCCAATGTGTGTCCAACCTTGCAGTCAGTGTCTTTGAAAAGACCGTCCTTGAACCACCACATCAGTGGCACCTGGGATATTTTTAAAAATTCAGTTACACCAAAGACCTCTTCTGCTGAGTTTGGAAATATGCATTTTTAATATATAGCCTTTCTTATGCACCTTATAGCATAAGAACCACTGCACTGGAAAGAAATACACTACAATACATTATGCTAAAATCAGATATACTCAGGTTTAAACCTGAAACAAAAAACAACTCTGAAATTATAACTGGAAATTTTCTTAAATTTTCAAGAAAAATATAGCTTACCTGGAAACTTGTAGCATGAACTATATATCAATGATGTCATAGAATTTGCTTAAATAAGTGATATTGTGGGCCTGAGCAATTGTATTCCATGGTCTGCTCACCGATTAACATTTCCCTTGGTTTTACATAAAGGGTATGAAAGTTTCTTAGAAAAGTATTCTGGTAACATGGAAATTACAGAGGACATGTTGAATATATAGGGAGACCAAATTTCTATTAAGAATTAATTAATGACCAAATGAAGAGCAATTTTCACCAAATAATGTAATACAATCCTAGAGGCAAAAATATAAGAATTTGCTTCATCAGATTAATTGACAGAATATTATTTTACCATGAGCCTATTTTATTTAAACAAGTGTTTATGTTGCAGATGACCGAA